TTCAGGAGTGTTCACCAGTGTTATCACGTATTGTCTCTGTAGGAGTATTTAACAGTGTTAATATGCAGTGTTACCACATTCAGTGTTGTCAATTCAGGAGTGTTCACCAGTGTTACCACATTCAGTATTGTTAATTCAGGAGTGTTCACCAGTGTTATCACGTATTGTCTCTGTAGGAGTGTTCACCAGTGTTATCACGTATTGTCTCTGTAGGAGTATTTAACAGTGTTACCACGTATTGTCTCTGTAGGAGTATTTAACAGTGTTACCACGTATTGTCTCTGTAGGAGTATTTAACAGTGTTATCACGTATTGTCTCTGTAGGAGTGTTCACCAGTGTTATCACGTATTGTCTCTGTAGGAGTATTTAACAGTGTTATCACGTATTGTCTCTGTAGGAGTGTTCACCAGTGTTATCACGTATTGTCTCTGTAGGAGTATTTAACAGTGTTAATATGCACATATTTGAGTGCATAGATGTACTTTGTGTTATCAAGATCTGAGCAGAATAGTGGAAATTAGCATCACTTTCTTGCTATGAACTTTCCAAAATGGCTGAAATCTTTGAAATATTGCATTCCATATATGGAAATCACTTTTTCCTAATATGGTAGGATGCAAATGTCTCGTGCAAAACTGCAATATTCGTCATGATGTAACTTACAGCGATACCGAGACAGGTGTATACTATTATGACCGAATTTTGTTACCTTGGGGCATAAGGAAAGAATTTATTTGCACAAGTTAATTTGTCCTATTCTGATGATATTCTGTTCTAGTCTGAAATGCTTGATTGACGAGTTTTAGATTCCTGGTTGCTTGGCTACCATTTATCATGCGAAAGAGGGTTGAGTCAACATAGATTCATGTCTGATCAGCAGAAATACAGATATTTGACTATACCAGCTTCAGTTTAGTTTTGAACATGTTGATTCTGTTTTGTAGAGGTTCACTGTCGCATACGACTTGTTTACCACTTCCGTGTGACTGAGAATGTTCTAGATTTTGTTTAGAAACTGGTTGAATAGGTTATAGGACACTGTAGGAGGCAATAGAAGGTAATGGAACATTCTAGAAATTGGCAGTAAGTTCCAGACTCATTATGTATGCTGATGTAATGGTCTATTTATAAACACTGTGGGTATATATAGGGGAGTTGTTCAGCACTGAGATCAGATCGGAGATCTCGTTGAATTGTGTTGGAGTTTAAGTATCTAGTTATTGGAGGTTTGGAGTTTACCGAGTTATTGTACTTGATGTTTGCAGAGTATAATAATACCAGTACCAGTTGAAACCTCCTCTGTTGACTCCGTGTTCGTATGTTATCATCGCCGCCAGGGAAGTCTTTATGTTACTGTTGCCATTTTGGTATTTGAACCATCACACCTGTACTATACCAATTACGGTAATATTACGTTGCGTGTGACATTCACATTACTTTTAAAATTTTACAAACTTTTCACAAAATATAGAATAACATTTTTACATTCATACATGAATAATAAAGTTAGACAAAATATATTTTTATCATTTTGGTATTCGTGTACCTTTGTAAGATATTTCTAGAAAACAATATGCAAGTTTTTTAACCTTGTAAAAAAACTGAGGCAAACGGGCTGCAGGATGACCAGGTGTACAATTCATCCTGCTGTAACCTGGCAACCAGGGAGACAAATGAAAAATTGTCTACTGACTTAGGGTTTGACTGTCACATGAATGTGTAAACACTACAATACTAGTAGAGCATTACACCATTAATGTAATAACACATTTTGTTCATATTCTAGGATAGATCATGTTGAAAATATGAAGACATTGGAACCACCAAGACTTATAAAAACGCATCTACCTGCTCACTTATTTCCCATTCAAGGTTTAAAAAAGCAAAGCAAAGTAAGTATTGAAATCAAAGATAAAGTTTGCATAATATATTACAACCAAGAGTTATGTATAGATGTTGTATGTATGTACTGTGATATTTTTAGATGCATACTTCTACATATTATGCTATTGACCTGGGTAACCACTTCTAGATTTTATGCTATTGACCTGGGTAACCACTTCTAGATTTTATGCTATTGACTTGGGTATTCACTTTACATTTTATGTTATTGACCTGGGTACCAACTTCTATGTTTTATGCTATTGACCTGAGTACCCACTTCTAGATTTTATGTTATTGACCTGAGTACCCACTTCTAGATTTTATGTTATTGACCTGGGTACCAACTTCTACATTTTATGCTATTGACCTGGGTACCAACTTCTACATTTTATGCTATTGACATGGGTAACCACTTCTAGATTTTATGCTATTGACCTGGGTATTCACTTTACATTTTATGTTATTGACCTAGGTACCAACTTCTACATTTTATGCTATTGACCTGAGTACCCACTTCTACATTTTATGCTATTGACCTGAGTAATCACTTCTACATTTATGCTATTGACCTGAGTATCCACTTCTACATTTTATGCTATTGACCTGGGTAATTGTTTGTTGAGTTTATAACATTCAAAAAGACGACATGTTTTTCACTGACTTGAGAAAATATGTGAAATAATAATAGTAATATTTACAATTACTGGTAAATAAAAAAAAGGAAAAATTGTAACCAATGAATAAATTGTAATGTGTGTCCCTATTTATGTTATTTTTATATTTCTTTTCTTCAGATCATTTACATTTGTCGCAATCCTAAAGACAATGCTGTGTCATATTTCCATTTTTATAGAAGTGTAGAAAATTTTGGTTATTATAAAGGATCATGGGATCAATTTGCTGGAAATGTTTGTTAAAGGCAATGGTAGGTATGGCTAATGTTGCGACCAATTAACATCTTTTTGATCCTTGCCATATTTTATTTTATTTAAAGAGGATTGACGTGACAAAAGTTCCTATTTGAGTCGTATCATGATTTTGTTATAACAATCAAATATATTTATTCAAATACAAGCATGTATATACATGTATCTAATTTTAATCAGTATAGACAGAGGTACATTACTTGGGGTTTGCAACGCGCATAGTACTGTATGGCGACATCATGTCAAGATCCCATTCAAGTCTCATCTCGTAGATAGCGAGACTGATGCTACGACCTTCTGACATGACATATATCGATGTTTAACGTTTGTAATAAAACATGTCTTACCACTATCATAGTGAAAAAGTGTAATACATTGAAAATGTACAGAAAATATAGTTCTCGTAATTAGTCATATCGTGAGCAGCTATTTTGATCCATCTTTACCTCCCAGTATCCTAGTTACCTTGGGCATGCGCATTCGCATTGTTCTGAGTTGGGAGCGCTTATGCGAGAGCGAGATTGAAACAGGATCTTGGTATCATGTCACCGTAGTTGCAAACCCCAAGTAATGTATCTCTGGTATAGAGTACATTCTGAATCAGATTTTTTTTAAATTAATTTTCGCCTCTTTGCTGACGACTCCAACTTATTTCATACTTATGAGAAAAATTGCATACTCAATTTACATGATGCAACCTCCTATTTAAATGATGTCCTGATATGGTGTGATGCCAACAAACTTTCCATAAATAAAAAGAAAACGAATTATATTATTTTTAGTAGCAAGCAAAACTTGTCTAATGTAACTGGCTCAATTAACATCAGAGGAGAATGTGTTCAGGAAGTTAGGGTAGTTTCATTTGTTTGTGTTTTAATGGATAAACATCTTAATTGGTCCCCTTAACATTTTAATATTGCTTTATAATTCCCTTATACAGCCGAATATTTCTTATGGTCTGGAGGTTTGGGGTAATACATATCACTCACACTTAAATACCATTTATATGACCCAGAAAATGTTAGTTTAGTTCGTTCACTGAACACTCGGCTCCTTTATTCCAAAAATTAAACATCCTTGATATCTATAAAATGCACAAATTAGTCACCTGTACTTTCATCTGTGACTTAATCCACCATAATTCTGCCCATAATATTAATGAGTATTTCAAACCTATCCATCATCCATATCAAACCAGACAACTTCACAATCAAAATCTTTTTGTTGAATATATTCGTACAACATTTGGCCAGTTTACGATGACATACTCAGGTGCAAAAATATGGAATAAAATCCCGGATAAAATTAGGTCAATTATCTGACGCAGTTCGTTCAAAAAAATGATTAAACAATTATTATTGACAGAAAACTAGATACATTTGATACATTTGTTTGCCAAGTTGTTTATTTATTCATTTTTTTTTAACCTGATTGATTTTTTCAAAACTTATTTTCTTAGACTTAGAAGTTCTGTATGGCATCAGGTTAGTTTTGGCGGTACCACTTTCGCGGATGCCCTGCGGTGTTTAGTGCTGTTGGTTGCAAATCGCGATGCTATACAGACATATTTATTCACTTATTGATTAATAAGCTATATATTTATTCATCACCGATTTGTATTAAGTTTCATTTTCATTTGTTTAGTTATTTATTAATTTGGTAAGTTAATCTTCATATTAATATACTTATTTTTGGCCCTCTACTTTATACATTATAGTTTACTTCCAATGTATGTAGGAAATCAGACTAGACAAGCAGTAAGCTATTTTCTGATTTCCTTTTTACCCAATATATATGTGTATTTTTCTTACCATTTGTTTTTCTGTATGGCTTACTTTTGTTTGTTTTTTTGTTTTTTCAGTGTTTCTTATTGTTATTATTATTATTGGGTACCGGGTAAATAAATAAAAATATTATTATTATTATTAAAATCTGATGTACTAGTAGGTAACATCTCTGGTCTCTGTTAACATAATAACTCATTGACACAGCACCATATTACATTTATTTAGCAATATGGTTATTAAATAGGACCATCAACAATATTAAAAATAGAATATACATAGTTTGCAAAATATTTTATAAGCTTAGAGTCTTTAGCACGTTTTCATCTTTGACTATATGTTTATCAAACTAATTTTGGTAATTTTGTAAACAGAAATGCTGTCTATTTGCTGAAATCATTGTGTATGCAATTCATTGTGTAATGGTTTTCATCGCTATTTTGCATTACTAGGATGTGCTTGTAAAACTCGCGCCTGAAATTTTTAATTTAGTAATTGCTTCTTTAATTAACTTGAGATAGTGTTCAAGTTTGTAATCTTTCCAACTTGTTTGTAGATTTTGTGTTTATTTGCTAACATCTAGCAATTGTCATCATTGTTGTCATTTTTGATCATTTCATTTCGTAAAATATATATCTTGCAATTTAGCTCTGATTACCCTTTTATTAGATGATATACTATTAGATTGTTAGAGTGTATTACATTGGAGTGTTTCTGACAGTTTAATAAATAGTATGTATAGTTAGAGGTGTGTACACTGGTATCCATTTATTAAATACAACAAGAATCTCTATCTACCAGTACATCAGATGTTAACCCTTTGAGACCTAAGTCATAAACAAATTTTCTTTTTCAACATAAACAAATTTTCTTTTTCATCATAAACAACTTTTCTTTTTCATCATAAATAAATTTTATTTTTCATCATAAACAAATTTTATTTTTCATCATAAACAAATTTTAAATTCGCATAATATTTCTAAAACTTGTAGCCGAATTATATCCATTTGGACCAAAAATATAGAAAAATACATTAAAACAGATAAATTGTTTACCAAAATTTATGTTAAGAAAGCTTATGGCGCTCAAAGGGTTAATCAGATTGTACAAATGTCCAGAACTCAACTTGTACATATGTTTTATTTTTTGGTTACTGGAGGTTAATGAAATCCCTGATAGACCTTTTAAATCATTTAATGTTTGCTAGGCCAGACTTTTATTATTCCTTGTTTCGCGAACTCGCCCAGTTAACAGGAGCCGAAAATGAAATAAAAATAACATTTTATTTCAGTGTAACTTCTCGCTCCCGCCGACTTGCTAAAAGAATATTATTTTTATCTTCATTTTTTTACCGCCCGCCGCATACCAAATCCAAGTTGCATTTTCGTGGGAGTATCATGATCAAAGTATCGAAGTCTCGCGTAGATGAGAAACAAGGTTATACATGGAATAAAATTTTATTTCATTTCTTTTCTCCGATCAATGACTTACAATTCTTTGAGAATCACACAAATCTAATGGAAAAAAAGAATTAATTTTATTTATTTTTTTTGCCCTCCTCAAAAAAAATTGCCTTATAAAAAGTCTGGCCCTACTAGGAATTTTTCGCATTGTGATGATTGTATAACATTTTCCCTGACCCTCAAAATCACAGGTAATAATTATTTTGTTTGTGTTTGTTTTGATAGTGGCATGGGGTAGCTGGTTTGATCACGTGCTTGGTTGGTGGAAGTACAGTTACCAACCCAATGTTTTATTCCTTCAATATGAAAATGTAAAAAAGGTATGATTTTTGAACGCATATCATTACCATAATTTCACACAAGTATGCATGATCTGACAGTGACAGTGTTTTCTCTGGTAAAATTCACTGTATTTATAGAGTTTGGAATTATGGGATGCACACTTGCTGTTCTGACAAGTAGGCATGGCACAGGTATATACCTCATTGTATCAAATCCATAATTTTTACCTACCCCTCGAAAAGTCCAAAGGGGTCTTATAATTTGGGTTCTGTGTGTCTTGTCGCATACGCC